GCTCCACTACTTCTCACTCAGTGAAGCTCTTTTCAGATTCAAAACACCTTTGAGGAAATGCATTTTTAGATGACAAGTAAACTGCATCATGGCACGCGCACGACCCCCCCTCCCCGCACTAAAATGGGCGGGTCAGAAGCGGAAGGTGGTTCTTAAAGACACAGAGGCCAATTTCAAGGTGTTTAGAAGAGGAAGTGATGAGAAGATAAGTTTATTTTCTATTTAAACATGAAAACAGCATTTTAATAACAACTAAAGGTGACATACTTTATACGTATACTTTATTATGGTATAGTATTTAAATATATGCCTGAGAAACACATAATATTGCACCTTTAAGTGATGAGATCTGAATCCGCAGCAATATCTACATTCATATTTAGTATTAGTTTGTAATGAGTCATCTCAGTGAAATATAGGGAGCAAACTTAACAGTAAAAAAACAACAACAACTAATGATGCCCATAAAAAGATGTTTCGGTCGTTGTGAGGTGTTTTCCCTTTCTGTTTTTGTCAGGATGAGATATCGGCTCTTAGGCGCCGCCTTGAGAAATCAGAGAAAGAGAGGAATGAGTTGAGGCAGACTGCAGACAACCTGGAGACCAAGGTTTGGACTGCAACACACACACACGTGCACACACACACATACCCATTGTTAATATTGCATTCCATGTGCGTAGGTTACAGCTGTGACATCTGAGCTAAGTGATGAGCGTTTCCGTGGAGATGCGGTGGGTCAGGCTCTGGATGTGGAAAGGGCAGAGAGACTTCGACTCAGCAGGGAGAACAAAGACCTGCAGGTAGGCCCACTAACCAACTCCTCTTCCTCACCAGTGGCTGCACAGGTCCTGAGTAATTACTGACGACATAAAGGCAGCTTCCGGTTACTGTTTGCTTTAAATCGCATCCCTTAACTAATTGCATCTTCCTGTTGTCCAACATGTGACTTCTTTCAAATCCAGACTCGGCTAGACCAGTGTAAAGTTGCCATAGAAACGCTGGAGAAGCAGCTGGAGGAGGAGAAGCAGAAAGCTCAGGTCGCTGCAAGTCAGAGAGGAGCTGCAACAGGTAAGTCTGTGCTTCTGTTTAACTGGGAGAGTTAATTAATGAAAAGGCAAAAATGAGAGTCATTTGGAGCTTTTCATTGTGGTAATGTACTGTATATTGTACAGTATTATTGCAGTTGTCAGAGCTCACAGCAAACACACACAGCAGCAAAACCTACAGAAAAACTAATTTGTGAACTAATGCAGCAGACAAACATGATGTGCACCCTGACTGACCAGGCCCATGACACAGAGATGAGCGTTTTAATAATATTTAACCTGTTTAGAATGGGCTGATTTATTGTGAATATTATATTAATTGGATGGACAGACTGACAGGAATCACCTACAGATTTCACTTTGAGAGGTTTTGATGATGGTGACTCAGATATGGAAGAGATGTGAGATTTGTGATGAGACCAGGAGGTCAGGTTAGGTTACTTTCTTTTATGCAGTATAAGCCCAAGTTACAGTTTGGTACCTCAGTATGAGAGTCTGGTTTAGGCATTTTTTTAGACAAACAATAACCCTCCCAGAAGCAGATACAGGAAAAACAAACCACCTTTACTACTGGAGAGGCTATAAGGTATTATGTCACAGTAAATTAGGGCTCCAAACTAAAAGGTATCCCTCTTTTGGTAAGAAGGTCAGTACAAATAAAGAGCTCCACTCACCAAAGCAGTTTTATGTGCATGTGGTACACTGAAGCTCAGCTTGCAGCCATGTGTATCGTCCTTACGCTCAGTTTGCAGAACAGATCCTAGAAGAAAGCTCAGGCAGTTTTAGCTGAGCCTAACCACCCCCTCTTCACAGAGTTTTCTCTTTTACCATCAGGATGCAGATTTGCTGTAAAAAAAGATGTCGAACCAACAGATTTAAGAATTCCTTATTACCTGCTGTTATCGTCATTTTAAATACTTCTTGTTTTTTATGTTTTTTACTGTATTTGTGGTTGATGATTGTTTTTGTTCCTGCTGGCTGTGACACAAATTGCCCCATGGGGATATTAAAGATTACTTGACTTGACTTGATGTGTTCCGGCTAACAGAAAGTGAGCTGGCCATGCAGCTGGAGTGCTGCCAGACGGAGGTCGAATTTGTCCGCAGACGTCTGAAGCAGACAGAGGAGAAGCTGGAGACTGAGAGACAGACGAGACAGCAGTTCGATACGAAGGTGAGGAAGGTCACAGCGACGTGCTCGGCAGTGCTCACGGCAGATTAAATGTCTGAAGGGAATAACGATCACGTGTGCAGGTGGCGACCCTTCAGTCCCAGTTGGAGCAGTCCAGGAGGAGTGTGGCAGATCTGAAACGTCACAGTCGTCACGTGACCTCCGACCTTCAAGATGCACGAGTGCTTAACGACAGTCTGCAGAATCGCATTCACAAACTGGAGAGCAAACAGAGGAGGTTAAAATAGAACCATCATCTCTTTTTTCATACCTGCTTTGATGTTATTTGTAGTAAAACATTTTGGCTGATGATGCAATATTACTCATTTTTACACCTCAAACTCTGTCCCTGCACAGGTTTGATAATGAGTTAACTCAGGCTCTGGAGGAGGCCAACAACGAGAGGGAGCTGAAGGACAAAGCCTTCCAGGAGAGCACGGCTCTGGGAACAGAAGTGTTCAACCTGCGCCGCAGCCTGCAGGTGTGCCTGAATTCATTTGTGATCTGTTTTTGCATGGTATCAGGAAAACCTGCGATGTACAATAACAGTGCATAATATTGTGATGACAACATGACTGAAAAAAGTGAACAAATATTTAAGTGTGCAGTGTTGATGTCTTTCTGATTTGGGTTTAGAGCCCTTAAAACCCACAACTTCACAAGTAATACATCATTTTCATTCCAATATGACAGTTTTATTTCTAAAAGTTAGTGGTGGGCACCAGCCTACTAAGGCGCAAATCTGCTAATTGTGGATCTAAATATTTAATTTGCACTTTAGCGGTCTTACAAATTTTCATAATTCATAAGCGGATTTGCACTTTCTAAAATTAAAATGCAGTACTGCTAATAACTAATTATCTACCAGTCATCATTATCTTGAACAGCAGAAGGTATGACTGTCAATGAATCACAACACATGATCTATCCAACAGCACCCCTCCCAGATAAACACATTTATTGAAAAGGTATACATCCTTGCTGACTGTTGCTTTGGGTCAGGGTTCTCATTTCCCACAATGCTTTGTGTCTGCTTATGTAGCAGGAAGGCAATGGCAAAAACAGTTAACGTTTGTAATCCATACTAAAATTGTGCATGTATTGATTCATTTTAATTTGCAATTGGAGCTCCTTTAAAAAAGAAAAGTTTAAATGCTGGAGCTCAATACTTGACGTAATTGGTCGAAGCAACGGGGTTAGAGACACAGAAATGATTTAAAGATGTTATGCTGATGAAGACTGACATCTAGAGGTCAACTGGAGCAACTACATGGAAAACTTTAAAATTCAAGCTCTTATTTTGAAGGGAAAATAGTTTCATTTACTCCGTGCTTTCGTTTCCCATCACAACTCAAATCCGTCATGTACCCAGAATGCATTGCTTCAGTTTTCCAATAAACAGTTTTAAAATGACTTTATTGATGCTTCTTTAATAAAAAAATTACAAGAAACAAACGAAAAAGACAAAGAAGCAGCCGAACTAGCAATCCTCAACAACTTTTTAATTTTTACACCAGGAGCTAAAGGTCTGTTTCAGGAAATCACATCCCCAGCAATCGGCGGTTGTAGGATTAAGTTGTACACTTCATACACTGCTTTTCATCAGTATTGTTCATATATTGTACACGAATTGTTGTCAGCTAGTAAGTGTCAAATTAAACTTGAGCTTTAAAATTAGCTTCTGCTAGTTTTTCTATGGCATAATCGCTTTTGAAGTTGCGGACCTAAATATTTACATAAGCGCTGTAGAAATTGCGGAGCTAATTTTTGGATCAGCGCAGCCCACCACTGTTAAAAGGTGTATCTAGGTAGTAGCAGTGAAACAATGCATGTAATTGAGTTTCTTAATGAGTTTAAAACATTGTCCCCATTAAACATTTTATGATGCTTTGAATACTGAAAAACTCCCCTTACTATCAATTTTTTTAATAAATGATGAAAAAACTGAACATAAATAAAGAGTTTAAAATAAAAGTTAGCAAACTTAAATCAAATTCTCTCATTGCAGTGGTCCAACATTTTCTCCACTCACCAGGCTGTTATAATTTGATGTGTCTCGGGTCCATTTTGTTTATAAGACCAATATGGGCAATACACATAAATGCAAACATCTGAGCCGATCATTTATTGCAGTTTACCAGTTTTTTTTTTGTGACATGACCATTACACAGGCTGTTATTCCGATAATGATAAATTGAATATATTGTGCAGTTCTACACAGAATCATGTTAGAAACCAGACTGCACTAAATTGCCTTCATGTCAGCCAACAGTTTGCAGTAAAATCACACAACAAACTGCATTATGTCATTATTGATTAAACAAAAACAAAGCTAAAATAGAAAAGCTGTCCACAATGAGAAATCCACTTTAAGTGTTTGTAGAATGTAGGCGCTGCTGATCAGATGTATGTATCAACTGCTCATCATCACCAGTGAAAAGCAGGAGTTTTGTCAGTTTGTTGCTTTAGATTCTAATGTGTGTTAACACAAGGTCAAAGTGAAAAGACATCAGCAGAGACCTTAGAGAAGCAAATGTTGCTACTCCTCCAAACTATCTGGAGTAAGGTTGGGCAAAATTGTATCATGTGCAATTGATTGTCAGGAAAACTGTCAACAATTAATATTTGACACTTTGTTATTACTGCGGTTAGTGTTGTGTGAGGACGGTGCATTTTTGTGTGTGACAGTGGTGGAAGGTGACATGGAGCAGCTAACGCTAACTCAAACTGAATAAACTTTCCTCCGGTGGAATGGTGGAAACAAATCCAGTCAGGAAAGAATCCACGAAGCACTCAGTCTGTCTGTCCCTGCGAGAGGCAAAGTCAGCGTTGGGAAGCGATTGTAGTGTCCAAGAGTGGGGGCCTCTTCTCAGGAATGCACAGATGTGCTATGTCTCTTAGTCTCCAGCTTTTGAGCTCGGCACATATTACCATATTAGGAAAAGAAATGCTTAAGGTGTACTGTGACAAAATTTATGATGCCTCTGTTGAACTACACTGTGCAACCTATAAAGAGGCTTCTACGCCCCTACCCTTGGCCTTCGTACTTCATCTTTCTTACTTGGTGAATCATTTGGCTTGGAGGCCATAATTTGGTTTTTGGCTGGAATCTCCTGGACTGCAAAATAAAGATTCTTGCTGTTCAACCAGCCTGTTTCAGAGTTTCTCTCTTAGTTGAGCAGCAGCAGTTCCGCAGAACCAGAAGACGTGGTTTTTACACCTCACGATAATGTGGGGCAGAACGTTAAAATGAAGAAATTACTTTGATGATTTGTAAATATAATTTTAAAACATGTAATAACTAATTTAGAGTCATAAGCATTCAAGTTCAATTATCTATTAATCAACTAATTAATCATTATTGGCTAAATTCCACAATTAATCATGATTTTTTTTTTTGTCAGTATCACCCAACTCTAATCTGGAGTTCATCATTCTACAGAGAACGAGAGAAATTATTCACAAGTAGAAAACTTAGAAATGTCCCAGAAATCAGACCCTGTAGACCAGGGGTTCTCAAACCTTTTGGGTCTGGGGACCCCTTACAATGGCGAAAAAAAATTCCAGGGACCCCATCATAAACCCCATGCTGTTTTAAAAAATAATTTATTGTTGTTTCAACCGCTAAATGCCATGGGAATATATATTTTTATTTAGTTTATTATGTTTGTTTTATTTGTTCATTGTTTTGCATGCATTTTTAAAAATAAAAACCAAATTAACAATTTAGTGAACTTTTTTGAGGACCCCCAAGATACATCTCACGGACCCCTGGGGGTCCTGGGACCCCAGTGTAGAGCATATACTGTACATTTACTCTACAGACTTCAGTTAGCAGGAAAATTTAACAACAGTACAGTTGGGGGAAAAAAACCCTAAACAGCCTTATTTAGAAGAGTTGCCAAGAAAAAATGTCTAAAATGAAGACAGGAACATAACTTTGGTTTGTTGCTTCTGAATGAACAACTAGACTTCTGGATTATTGCCTTTTAGACAGATGACATATCAGCATGAACTCCCCGAACCAAAAACACATTAAAATAAGTTGGTAAAGTTAGTTTCCTCTTGTGTGTGTGTGTGTGTGTGTGTGTGTGTGTGTGTGTGTGTGTGTGTGTGTGTGTGTGTGTGTGTGTGTGTGTGTGTGTGTGTAGGAGAGCCAGTTAGAGGTGACCCGTCTCCAGAAGCAGAAGGAGGAGTTGTGTGCTCAGATCCGGGATCTCAGCCTACCTGTTGATCTCGCCTTAGACTCTGTACCAGACCTGAAAAAGCAGCTTCGCCTCCTGGAGAGCCAAGCCAGCGAGAGGGACGATGAAATCACTAATCTGTCCGGCAAAATCCAACAGCTGCAGCAGGTGCTCACCATACCCACAATCAGGCCCACATACTTCCTGCCGCTTCTCTCTCTCCTCATCTGCTCTATTCCTCTGTCAGGTCCAAATGCGGTTTGAGATGGAGATGGAGAGGATGAAGCAGATGCACCTGAAGGAGCTGGAGGACAAAGAGGAGGAGTTAGAGGATGTCCACAAGTCGTCTCAGAGACGGGTGAGTGATGCATGCTTCCTGTGAAACTGAACTGAATGAAAACACAGCTGCTGGCAGATTTAAACCAGCAGAGATATGTCAGCTGCATGAATTCATACGTGCACCTACATATATTAAATAAGTTACGTATTTTAAATAAGTTACATATTTTTAACGTTACATATTTTAAATAATTTACATATTTTAAATGTTACATATTTTAAAAAAGTTACATGTTTTAAATAAGTTACGGTACATATTTTAAATAATTTACATATTTTAAATAAGTTACATATTTTAAATAAGTTACATATTTTAAATAATTTACATATTTTTAAACAAGAGGTGCTTAAAATTTACTTATTTGCATATTTTAAACGATGTCCCTACAGGTTATGTATTTTAAATAATTTACAATTTTTAAATAATTTACATATTTTAAATAAGTTACATATTTTAAATAAGTTAGCTAAACTGCTCCAGTGAACTGAAACATTTTTTTCTTTCCAGTGAAAAGCAAATGTTCTTTGTCCAGATGAGAGAGCAAAACACCCCAAATGATGGAAATAATAAGATGACTGTGTGAACATGTGCATTTGTCTTTTAGCAAAATATCTCCACTGTGGAAATTTCCTAACAGACAAAATAAAAGCTAGTCCAGCCTAATAATTTGTGTGTTTTTTGTTTTTCTGTGCAGCTGAGGCAGCTGGAGATGCAGCTTGAGCAGGAGTACGAGGAGAAGCAAATGGTCATTCATGAGAAGCACGACCTGGAAGGACTCGTGGCAACTCTGTGTGATCAGGTAGCCCCACCTGTGTGTAGTTTAACCTCAGTATAAATCCAGCTTTTTGTTAAAGAACATTTGTGATCAAATGGCATCATGAAGACCAAGGAACTCACCAGAAAACTTAGGAGAAAAGCTATTGATAAGTTCAAAACAGAGTCTCAAGCTTTGAACTATTCACAGAGCTCTGCTGAATTCATCCTCTGAAAATGCAAAGAACATGAAACAGCTGCAAACTGACCAAGACATGACCATCCACCTAAACTGACCGACCGAGTAAAGAATCTGAGAATCAGCCTAAAAGCCCAATGGTAGCTCTGGAAGGGCTACAGAAATCCACAGCTCAGGTGAGCCAATCTGTCCACATTCATTCTCCACAATTCTGGTCTTTATGGCAGGGGCGGTTCTAGGGGTGGGGCCACAGGGGCATTGGCCAGCTGAAGTGCCCCTGCCCTTTCACTCAGTCTTTTACTTGGGAGTGATGATAGTGGATGCAGTTCCATGTTTAAACACTAGTTGCGCTAATGAGTCCAGAATGACCCAGGCTTACAGAATTCTTCTTCTCTGCTTAAGAAAATTTTAACAATCCTGCAAAACGAAGTCTTTCAACTGACAAATGATGGCTGGATTTTCTCCCATGACAAATAAACATTTATAAATGCCAAAAGTTAGTCTTTAATGTGAAAAATCACCATTTTTAAAACTTAGTGTTGATGATCAATATTTGAAACTATTGTTCAAACATGTAACTACTGTCAACAATGATGATGTATTAAAACAGTAAAAACATAACATCATGTTAACATAACAAATAATCCCACCCCATCCAAAATAGTGTACAGCTTTACACTTTACAATAAGGATCCCTTTAAAATTTGTGGATATTTATAATGCAGTAATATAGTACAATATGTTAAAATATGTGCTTCCTAATCATTATTGTGCTTACAAGGTAGTAAACTAGTCTGAAATGTTTAATAACCAAACAGATTTGGCTCAGTATTTGGAAAGAAACCACAGTTTAGTTTCTTTTTAGTCCTTAATAATTGCATAATAAACACTTATTAATAATTTATGAAGTGTTTACAGATGAATTAATAACCTATCTATAAACTCTTTAAAAGCCATCTGTAAGGGGAGCCTTATTGTAAAGTGGTACCCTTTTTTTAATTACATTACTTTACAAGTGTTTGAAGATGTATGACTGGTTAAATGTAAACACCTTACCAAAACTGGGGATTTGTGTGAAAGGATGTTGAACAAAGACTTGACCCCTCTATGAATATTGTGGCCCCTTGATGGCCCTTACTCAGAAAAACCCTAGATCTGCCACTGCTTCATAGGAGGAGTGATAAAAAGAATGATGTTGAAAGAAAACCATAGAGTCCCATTTGCAGTTTGTCACAAGCCATGTAGAGATACAACGAACATGTGGAAGAAGCTACTCTGCTCAGGTCAGGCTAAAATAGAACTTTATGGCCAAAATGCAAATTACTATGTGCAGCAGAAAACTATTATTGCACATCACCCTGAATATACCATTCATACTGTTAAACATCCAGTCCCCATTTATTCATTCAGCCTTTTAAAACTCCTCAATGGAACAAAGTGTTTTACAGTGGAAGACAATAAAACAAATGTACAACTACTTAAATAACACTAGAAATAAAACATAAAGGAATAAAAACAAGAATAAATCAATAAAACCATAAAAGTAAATGTCTAACAGGTGACAAAAGCCATAGAATACACACATGCAGAGTTTTAGGCGAGGATTTCAAAGCTGCTAAAGAGGAAGCCTGTCTAATGTGCCAAAACAATTTATACCATAATATTGCCCCCACCACCCCAAAAGGCCCAGTCCCCTCTGAGCGTGCACCTAGTTCTTGGTCAAGTCAGCATCAGCTAATCAACAAACCATGGAGAACGGGCACAGCAGCTCAGAATAATGAGAGCAAAGACTGTCTTAAGATTTAAAAACAAATAAAATAATTTTAAAATGGATTCGATAATGCACTCACAGCCAATAAAGACATTTTAAAACAGGTGTGTAAAGCTGCATTATTTAATAATTTAATAAAATCAGGCTTCAAAATGTAATAAAGCCGCTCTAAAACTGCATTATGTAATAACTGACTCAAAATGTAATAAAACTCTTGAACACATTTTGTAATACTGTCCGTTGTATTATGTAATAATGTTTTGCGGCAATTGTTACAGAATGTGGTGGGTGATAATGTAATAATGTGGTGCATGATGTAATGAACCATTACATAAACCATCACAAACCAGTAATTGTGTTCATTTTAATCATGTTGCAGATACTAAACATTCAAATCTTTGAAACTTTGGTCAACAAGTGCCAAACTTTTCATCATTTTGTTGCCTATTCATAGCCAGATTCCTCTGTTTTAGTCTAAAGGTTGTTCAAGGCAGACGATCATGTAAACAGCTTTTTTTTAACTGATTGGTTTTCAGAAAAATGGTAACCCGTGCTTTATGAAGCAACACAGAAAATGGGGAAATGTTTCTGTTTATACTGAATGACAGAAGCACATGATCCAACAATTTAATGCAAATTGAACAGAACTATGAAAATTTCCTACGAGGCGCCTACAAGATTTTATCAGAGGGTACGCAGAAAACCATCCCCACACATCGTCCACACAAATACAGACCACATGCTTGTTTTAGAGCACACGTCTCTCAAAGCGTGAGCTGCATCCTCACCTTCACATTTCAGTAAAGCTGACTTTTAGATATCTTCTGAGAATAGTCTGTAAAGTGGAAAAATTTTGGTATAGGAGAGTAATGCTGAATAGGTAACTAAATGATGAAAATTTGGCATTTATTGACCAAAGTTTCAAAGATTTAAATGTGTAGTTTCTGCAACATGATCATTATTACAAGTGCATTGATTAGGAGGAAGTTTGTGATGGTTTATTACATAATGCATCACATTGTTACATTATCAATTGTACAAAGAACAACCATGGCATTTTGTAACAATCACTGCAAAATGTAATAATGTTATTAGTAGGGGTACAACAATACAGAAAATTCACGATTCGGTTCGATTCGACACTATAGTCTCACGATACAATATTTTTTGATACAAAAAAGATAAATTTCCATGCCCTTCTTAAATTGTGATTTATTGAAATTATTTATGAACATTTGTTTAACCTCAAAAGTACAGTTTTTAAATTAAATGTTGCTGAAACAGCAAGTTTCTCAGTGGATCTGAGCTCAACAATGCAGCCTAGATGGTGTAGTTGAACACAGATCCACTGATCCTTCAACACAGAGCATCTTCAGAAGACATGTTGATAAAACAATTTTTAAAAAGCTGTATTGTTCAATAGATAGTGTGTATTGAACCTAGCACTGTACTGAACGGTTTGATACAGATATTGTTGCACCCCTGGTTATTACATAATGCGGCTAAGAGTATTACAAAATGTGTTGAAGACTGTTATTACATATTGCATCAGTTATTAAATAATGCAGTTAGTGCGGCTTTATTACATTTGGAGCCCAATTTTATTACATTATTACATATTATGGTGTTATTGCATAATGCAGCTTTACAAGGAATGATGGGGTTGAAGGATTTTGTTTCTGTTAAAAGCCATTAGCAGTATTTTGCACCACCTGTAAACAGACGACTGCAGAAACAGACCCAAACGTACAAACCAAAGGGACCTCAGACGATACAAGCATGTGATCTGAGAAAACTACCTCACACATTTCGATGTTAAAAACTGGGACATATTGTGGAAATTGGTTATAATAACCAATGCTGAGGATACAGCCATATTTAGGCAGAATTTCAGCCAATATTTCCTAAAATTCCTTGTTAAAATCTTTATTGTGCTCAGGAGGTTGAGCATGCAGTGTAAAACACAGGGAGTTTTTTTCCTCAGCAGGGATGGGGAAAGAGTTAATAAGAACATGAATATAACTAAATACAGGACGATCATGAACAAAAACCAGAAGGAAGGTTTTTCTGCCAGTTCCTGTTTTCAAGTTTGAGGGGGTCCAAAGATGAGTCCATTCACGTCCTTGAGTCTGAGAAGGTTGGGAATTCTGACAATGATGCCTGCCGGATTCTTGAGTTGTAGAGGACCACAGTCAAGGACAGCACCTCTCAGCTAGTTCCTGCCTTTGAGCTACCCTTCAGATTCAGCTGTCAGGCCCCTGCCAGATCCTGTTTCCAAAGGGCTTCAGCCAGATCTTCCTTTTCTGGATCCTTCATGTGACCGCAAGCTTGTTTTTGTACAAAAATTTGACTTTTCATTTGGTCATCTGCTGCTGGAGTGGGCACTTTGGGTCTTTATGCTAACCAAAACCATGACAGAGAGATAAATGAGTTTCCTCTGAGGTTGGCTAAGCTTAAGGAAATCTCAGGTTAAAGCAGCTGCTCCTCCTCAGTAGCCAGAAGTGGTGGATTTAGGATGCCTCCTAGTCATCTCCGGTTTGTGTCCTTGACACAACAGGAACAAAATTGTCTTTCTAAAACTTTGTTTCCACTCTGAAATAAACCAAGTTGTGTCACATTGCAGGTGGGACACAGAGACTTTGATGTGGAGAAGAAGCTAAGGAGAGACCTGAAGAGAACTCACGCTCTGCTGGCTGATGCTCAGTTGCTTTTGGCTACTATCAACAGCTCAGGCCAGAACCTTCCTGATGGAAACAAAGAACAGATAGAACATCTACACTGCCAGGTGTGCCCACTCGTACATAAAACCTTGGCTCCGCAAGACTTAGCATGAACTTTGTCTAAGAAACATCATGTGTTCCTGTTTAGCTCGAGGAGAGCGAGGCAAAACTTCTGGAGGCTGGAAACGTACAGAAGACTCTCTCCCAGGAACTGGAGAACACTCAGGTGGAACTGGAGAACCTCTGTCGGCAGAAGAGTCTGGTGAGTCGCACTCCAGATGCATGGTCTGAATACATGACTGATGTCCAGCAGGTGAGTGTAAGAAAAATACGTATTCAATAGACTGAAGTCAATATTAAAACCACCATTGTTAAATAAAATGATTTGTAGAAGGAATCAAACCATACAACACCAGAATTCTGGAACTGAGTGAGGTTTGTTGTCTCTTGAGCTGACAGGAAACCACACTGGCGAAAAACCAGGAAGTTCATCAATTTATACATGGTACTTCAATGCCTGCATTCGCCCCCTACTGACCTACGGCTGAATCACAGGCATTCAGACAAAAACCTCATCTACTGTTCTCATAACGGTTGAATATGTGTTGTCATATAATCCGGACATGTATCTGAACCTATTTCAATCAAAACATAATAGATTAAACATCGTCAGGAAAACCTAAAAATATAGTGTTGTGCTTTTAACATCAGTACTAACCTCTAATAACTATAAATTTCTTCATGAGCATCATCATTATGAGAGCAAATCTGAGGAAAAGCTGCTTTGTGATGGAGCCAGACTTTCTTGTGATATTTTAAGGTCATTTTGATCAGTAGTAGTTTATCAGGTTTTGCAGCATTTAGTCTGCAGAACTGAGTATTTAAAGTTGAATTAAATTAATGACAAACAGGAACGGTATTGTCAATTTTCAAAATAAAACTTCAAGGATTCCCTTTAAAAGGAATAATTTTAAGAAGTGTTTAAAGCGGGGTGAGGGGGTTTGAAATCTTTTTTTTAGCTTTATATCATGTTATAATGTTGTTCCCTCATGACTCATTCATGCATGTTTGAGAAATCCTTGAATCTCCTGTGGTAGTCATGTGGAGCTGCCTAAATGCTTGCTGGTACAAAGCACCGCCTGTTTGCACAAAGCTCCTCCCTGGAGCTCATGCAGCTGAGGTCCCGCCCCACAGAGCACCCCTCACCCTGAAGCATTGTTGTGAAGACGTGCTGAAGTGGGAGTGTCTGAAACGTCAGGAGGTTTTTAAAAAGACAGAGGCCAATTTCAAGGTGTTTAGATAGAGTATGATGTAAAGTCAAATTTATTTTTGATATATACAGTGTTTCCAGAACAAGTGAAAGTAACTTGATTGTGGTTTAAAATTGAACAATGTGCCTGGAAAATACATAAAACCACATTTAAAGCCAAAATGATCTGAAGCTGAGAGGAGATGAGTTGTACTGTAGCTGTTTGGGTCAAACTTTTTTATCTCATCTCATCATGTTGGTGTTTGCTCTCAGAGTACACGTTTACTCAGCTACCACACCAAATTTTAGCTAATATGAACCCTGTCTAGTGTTGATGTAATTTTAACAGTTAATCAGTTGTAAATCCAATAATTACTTTTTGAGAATTTCATTTGAAATGTGTCGACCGGTTCGTGAGATTTTTGTTTTTGCTACCAGACAAATGAACTCTGTCACACACACACACACACACGCGCGCACACGCACACGCACACGCACACGCACACGCACACG